CTCTCTCTCACACACTCTCTCTCACACTCTCTCTCACACACACTCACACATAATAAATATAAAAACTTTTTTTTATATAAACAAATCAAACTATTAACACGATTAAAGTATAAAAATTTAAAATTGCACAGATAATTTAAAAATAAATCAAAATGAAATAAACCGAAATGAATGTTTCTAAAACAGAATAATATAATAAAATGAAGATGTAATTTTTTGTTTATTAATAAATGGTTTTAAAATAAAAGAATAATGGAATAAAATCAAACACTAAAATTGTTAAAAACATAAGAATGTAATATTTATTAAATTAAAAAATCAGAATTAAACATTTTCTATAAAATAAAGTAATAAATGCAAAATTACAACCAAAATAAAACACTTTGTAAAAATATATAACATAAGAATGTTATATAATAAATCATTTTAAAAAGAAAAAATTTAAATAAAACATGAATAAAAATATTTTACAATGTTACAATGAATAAACATTTTAAAACAGAATAAAATAAAAAAACATGACAATTATTAAAAGCATAAGAACATAATATAATATTAAATAAAATTAAAAAATTCAAAGTTAAAATGAATAAATTATTTTAAAATAGAATAAATCACCTACGAAATGATTAAATATTGTAATTGTTTACTTGCCTATCATGTGACCGTTAACCGACACCAGAGAACCGTGAACATGTAAACATGCTATTGAATTATATATAAATAAAAATATTACTTGAGCTCAAAGAGGTTCGGGAATCCCTGCACTAGACAATCTCACTAATCATGTGCTTAAATGGTAATAACTAGAAACGCACATAAACTCCTAAACGGCCGTCAAACGCTGATTTTTCACAATCTTACCGATGCACTTCCCTCTGTGAACGACGACCTCTCCGAGGAAGCTGTTGCTGAAGTGAAGGAGCTCCTGCTGCCGTGCGTTATCTTCATTATACGTGTCTCGTCTGGGAAGAGAGAAGAACAGCACTCAGGTCAGACTGTGATGTGCACGTGTCTGAGTGTGTGTGTGTGCGTGTGTGAGTCTGTGTGCATGTGTGTGTGTGTG